CTTCTATCTTCACTATTATTACCCTGATCCACTCTACCACAAACCCTGGAATGGATCGCTACAAAAACCTAACTGGTCCCGCTGCTTCCACTCTTGCTTCACTTCTGGCCTCCATCCATTTTTCACAGCACCTAGACTCATCCCTTTAAAACATATAAACCAGACCAAATATTGGATCACATTAATATTGACCAGTCAGTTGATCCCCAAATTGGTTTATAAATTCAATGTACTTGCAACCAAAACTCCAGCAGACTTTTTTTTTTTTTTTTAGCAATTGGCAAGTTGATTTTGAAGTCTACATGGAGTTACAGAAGACCAAGAATGGCCAAGACAATTTCGAAGCCAAGGAGGCGTCTCTGGCCTCCAAATCACCTCTTTATGACACACCAACACTATCATTTTCCATGTGCCAAGGAAAAGGGTTGGGAAACCCTGTATTAGAGAGAAGCATACCTTTCAGGTCCATTACTTTAAATTCTTAGAAAAGGTAAAGAAAAGTACTGTGTGTGTGTGGGGGGGGGTTAAGAAAGAGAAATAAAAGGACATTACTCATTTGTGCTTATGTTTAACTGACACACTTGAGAAACGAAAGAAGACATCCACTCTGAGAGTGTAATGTAAGGAAAAGCTATCTTTATTAGCTAAATTTCCAAGGCTAAAACCAGATACTGAATCAAATTCTTAAGTTACATGGGCAGGGGCACAAAAACCATGATGCTTCATTTTGTTTAGTTCTTTAGACTGTCAGCAGTATAAATGATTGATAAAAAAAAAAAAATACTAAAAGATAATGAGATCATATTAACAGGTTACAATATGCAGCCCCATGATGAGAAATGAATTAAAAGAAACACCTCAGTGATGAAGATTTTCTTTGATAACAGGGACTGAGAGGCTGAGTATGAAGCTCATGATGAGACTGGCACGTCTTCTACACAGCGAGGCCAACTTCTATACGATCTACCCAGCTGCCCATCCTGAGAATGCACATTCAACTCTGCCAATGTGGGTGCTGGCCAATACCAACCCCCCAAACCACAGAAACCCAACGTCAAGTCAAAGTTCAGACCATAAAACGCCGGTCTTGCGATCTGTTCAGGGAGGAAAAGAATTTTAAAACCACCTTATACTGCTGGATCTTAGGCAGTGGGCCCTGAACCTCCCTGGGAGTCAGTTTCCACATACAATGAAGTGTTTGACTAAATGCTCCAGTGTATTATTCCTCCAAAACTATATTCACCCCAACTTTTAATGTTCTGATAAATAGTTTTAATTTTTCATTTGTGCAATTACCCAAACAGGTTTTAAACGGCTAATAAAATGTACTTACTAGGGCAAGAGAAACGTGTCAGATGCATTAACAAAATCTTAAAGGCTTCTTCAATTGACTTCTGCAAAATTACCTTAAAAAATAACAAGCCTCTGCGTTTGAGGCCTATCATGCTTTAACACTTGAATCTCTCTGAGCTACAAGAACAGTGTGCACTACGTTATATGGTAAAGTCAATAGAAGCAAGCAAAGTCAGCGATTTAATGTGCACCCATGTTCCAGAATGGGACCATCTGAGTGGGAGGCAAGAGAACAGAGAAGATGTGCGAGTTAACACTGCCTGTCCTTCCAGCAAGGCAACCACAACGTCCATCGCTGACCCCGGCACTCGGGACGGTGACGCAGGGTGCGACTGACGGCGCCAAGACAAGACAAGAAGGGGAAGCCAGCCTACCTCAGGGAAACCAAACATATGGTAAGTCCATGTCCAACTGATATTTTTAACAACTCCAGTAGGGTGGAGGGGGATCAATGGGAGAAAAAAGAGGGACATCTATAATACTTTCAACAATAAAGATAAATTTTTAAAAATGTAAAATAATAAAAATAAAATGTTACTAATAAAGAAAGCAATGGTGCCTAATACAAGAATTCTGATGTCACTCACACTGGAACAGGGAAGAACCTGGGTTGAGATTTATTGGTTTCAACTCTATTCACCGAATGACTTAGGATAAGTCATATCACCTCTCTAGGCCTCCATTTCCTTGCCTGTGATATGAAGCTACTATATTTAGTGACTTCCTGAGGTACCTTCTTACTTGAAAATGTTTGTATCCTAATGTGCCTTTTCCCCAGGTTCTAAATATCTCCAAGGAGAACTCATAACATCTGTTCCTCTGATTTAAAAGCAAAGGTACCACAAAGTGAGAAGGCAGGAAAAAGCTGGTTTTAACTTCCAAGGTGACTATAAAAAATTATAAACTTGATCAATTAATTAAAAACACAAAATTCCAATAGTATGATAAATAAATTATATATCATTTCTATTTCATTCACCAGAGCAAAGCCAAAAGAATTCTGGGTTTGGCTTAAAAAAAAACAACACAAAAAAACAAAACCTAGAGAAAGCTCTTAACTGGCTGCCCACATTTGGGGGGGACTGGGAGTGTTGATCCAAAATAATTATTGATTTTAAGTCTAACGTTTAGAAGGAACTGGTAGTTCCTTCAAGGTCTCATACTTACTCTTCTCAAAGCATTCTGAAAAATAAACTCTTGGCTATTCCTTTTTTTTTTTAA